CGTTTAAGTCTTTCATAAATTAAGGTAACAAAAAAGATGAGCCAGACAATAGCTGTTTCCGATACATTGTCGTTAATTACAGGTGTTAATTTGTCTTTTTTGCTGGCACATTTTTAAAAATACTGACAATACAATTAATTTAAAAACCTAAAGGTAGGCATTTGCATTTATCGACATTGTACTACATACAAAATAATAAAGATATACAATACTGGCTGAAAGCTTTTAAACGTTTTTGCTACAAAAGGAAGCTGCCCCAAATAATACTAATTGCCACGAAACTTTATGGTACTTCACTCATAATGAATCAAAATAAAAATTGCCAACATCTTATAAGAATATTTTAATCACTCAATAAAACATAAAAGCAAAAACTTTTAAATCGTTGGTAAAACAGTAAAATTTATAGAAGCCTTGACATCCTGAGTTAGTTTGGTATTTTCAAATAATAAGAAAATTGTACGAACAATTAGTAACCTTAAGAAACGGCTAAATAATGGTATCAATTTCTTTAAGATATTATATAGTTTATGTTTAGATTTTTGTTTTCTTATTAGTGTTACATAGGTTTTCAGTTTTTTCTACTATCATTTTTACGTTTCAGCGATCATGTACTTCTTGTTTGTGTACTAATTTTGCATCTTTGTATGACTTGTGTAACTTTCTTTAATTCTTTCGAAATATGTTTAAAAATTAAAGAAAAACGGCGTAACGACTCAGCCTTAATTGAGGACCAGTAATATAGTTAAGCTTGTCTTGAGCTTCAGCGGGTTATGCGCTTGAAGTTGATATTATTCAGCATTATCGGAAGGAGAATTATTTGATTAGGCTAATCTAATTGAAATCCAATCTGTTTGAGTAATCGGTTTGTGTAGAGGCTCCTCAAGCCATTAGCACGGGCATCACTTGAGATTGGCTGCCATGGATCTACATTGTCTCTTGAGATTTTTCCTAGAATGTGCTTCCCCTTGAAAACGGGATAAAAGTGCAAGCGTAGGAATTGTCGGGAAAAGTAAAACGATTCAGTTTAGAAATCCGTTTGTGATATCACTATAATATAGACGCTTATAATAAAAGATGCAATGATTTTTTTTTTATTTATGTAGCGAAATATGTAATACCTTTTCAATGAACTGAAGAATTTGAAAATATTTCCGTTTTATTTCAACATTTACTTTTATCCGACCTTAATTTTTGTTAATGTTTTCCAATAGTGATTTTTAAATAACAGCTGTAAGGTTTCAAAGTAGTACGTAAAGTAAAAAGAGATTTTTTCATTGGGGGGAAATGGGGTGAAGTTGTATTAGGACGGCGATTAGGCGGCTAAGCTCACAATCAGAAGGGGGAACTGGAAATACTGGCGATAGGTCCATTAATTCTTCTAGAATTTAACGAGGTTTCTGCTAAAAGGAGAAACCGCAGCGACATTTCCTCTTTGTTTTGCTCTTTCAATCTTTCTCGATTTCTGTCTATAACAATATTGAACCTTAATAATGAGAAATATTGGGACATACTACAAATTGTATTAACTCACATTAAAACAACTCAACTTAAGCGTGAAACTATAATGATATTAATGCGAACTATACTTTCTCAAGTGTATTTTGTTCGAAATCTTTTACTTTATTGACCACATTTGTGAAAAAAATAAAAAAACATTTGTGGGTCGGGTTCGAATCCAGCGGCCCTTTATTACTTACTGTTGTTGAGGCCGACGACACCCCGGCGGAAGTTTGAATTATAATATATCAATCAATTCCTTTTAAATATCATTCTCATATTAGGAAATGACCGTTTTCCGTCGATATATCTACAATAGCTAATTCGGAGATCAGCCTTCAACAATAATATTAAATGAAAACAAAAATTACAAGTCTCCCATTGGGTTTGTATATAGGAGTATGTATGTATTTATGGTATGAGTGAGTGTGAGAATGACTAGTTTTAGGAAACGTAAGGGGGCCGAAATGACCAAAAAAGTCGATGGCGCCCGATCAGAGCCCAACCTCCGAGTCGCTCAGGCACCAAGGTGGGTGACTCCCCCTGATCCATCCAGAGGCCTCGTAGAAGGTCTCGTAATTCTAATTCTACAACACTCTCTCTCTCTCTCTCTCTCTCTCTCTCACTCTCTCACACTCTCTCTCCTCTCACTCTCTCTCTCTCTCTCTCTCGCCTCTCTCTCACTCTCTCTCGCCTCTCTCTCTCTCTCTCTCTCTCTCCTAATATATATCACACTCTCTCTCACTCTCACTCTCTTCCCCTTCACTCTCTCTCACTCTCTCTATTTTTCACTTCTCTCTCACTCTCTCTCGCCTCTCTCTCACTCTCTCTCGCCTCTCTCTCACTCTCTCTCTCACTCACTCTCTCTCTCCCCTCTCTCTCTCTCTTCTCTCTCTCTCTCTCTCTCTCTCTCTCTCTCACACCCTCCCCACCCATAGTATCTATCCTACCAACTACATACACATACAACATATCCCTATAAAACCCTTAGGGGATTAATAACTGGAAAAATGTCGTCTGTCATGTGTAATCAGGGATGATTTTCTAGATTGCATCAACCATCCAACTCCATTGTGTATTTATATACATATTGCACATATTTATCAATAGATCGCGCGAGTGAGGCTACCTGTTCAGTTATGGATGGAAATGAGTATTCATTTCTAGGCATAAAGCGGTAGAAAAACAAAGAAGGCGAAGTTGTAAAGTAGGCCAAGTGACATGTGCGTATCGTCAAACCGCAGAATGACCGATTTAGATGGAAACCGCCAGAAGTATTGAACTAGTAGGATTTAATTGTCTTACTTCCCCTGAAGGAAAATTGGGTAATAGAAAGCTAGGTTTCAGTTCCGGGTTTCTAACATAATTATCTTTGTCCAACTGTTTTTTGTGGGCGTCGCTCCTTCCTGGACGAAGGCCCGTCGGAAATTCGGCCGTTTCGAAGACTGGATGGGAAGAATTTTTTTATCTCGATGAAGCCATCTATTCTCTTTAGCCGTCGTAGCTGGCTTTGTATGACATCATATTCCTTTCCGAGCGACGATGGGCCGTTCTCCTTGGCTGGGTAGACCTTTGAGCCGAATTAGGAACTGTGCCGTCGCAAGGTCTCGAACAAAAGTCTCTGGAATATGATTCCCCTGACCTAGAAGATTTTTGAAATACTCTTTATTTTTGGTTTCGATTACATCAGTCTTAACTAGGGTTGTTTCTTCTGGTAACAAGAATTTCATGGATTTTCTGAAAATGCCAAGCAACGATTCTTTACCAGATAAAACAGAAATTCATTGTGAGTCGTGGCTATTTAGTGTTCAGTAGTTTTATGGTTCATTCGTTACACTGTTATTTTGAATAAGAATGTTCTTTTCCCCTCCTCTGGGATATTTGGAAGGATTTAGTTTGTATTACATTCTCTCCATACTTAAAAGATTTAAATGTAAATTATTGCAGCTGTTATAGCGTAAAACGTTATCCGGAGGAGGATTATTTGATTAGGCTAAAAAATTCAATCTGTTTGAGTAATCGTTTGTGTAGAGGCTCCTCAAGCCATTGGCACAGTCATCACTTGAGACCGGCTGCCACGGATGTACATTGCTTCTTAAGATTTTTCCTAGAATGTGCTTACCCCCTGAAAAGGAGATGAAATTATTGCCGGGAAAAATTCCTTTTCCACATCCAAAATGTAATTGTTATATGTAAACTTTGTTTGTAAATCCCAGGCCCTGAAGATGATCTCAATAAAGATCGAAACGTTGGCACGATAAAGAAAATGTTTTTCTCAAACCTACATCACACCAGGCCGCATCTCACGATTTCTAAATTAATATCGATTAACGGTCACTAATCACCACACATTTGTCATAACAACAATTTTGCTATACAAAACAGAAGCTACTCTACGTATGTCTTCCTCCTCATTGTCTTCTAGTCATTGTTACATCTTTATTATTGCCTAAAAAAAGTCGATTTCACCATCCAAAAATAGAAGCATGCCAAATGAATTAAAATAATATTATTTTGTATACTGTTGTATACAAGCTTTGTAACGCAGCTTTGCCCAGGGGAATAATAAAAAGTCGCATTTAACAAATTATTTTGAGTGTACATACTGCTATTGATATGTTTGATATCAATGATTGTATTTAGTCATCATTAAATATTTACATTTGTGATATTATTTTTGTTTTGGATTGCATAATTTGTAATTACTGTTGTATTCAGCGTTAAATTTATTGCAATGCTTTTGGAAATACAATGTTTTTAGTGATTCCATTTGGCATATATACAAACAACAAATCTCCCATCCTGGAGTATGCACTGTATAATTGTCCATGAGAAAACCACATTCAATTCACATAATAGCAGTGCTTGATTTGGTGATTTCCTTATAATTATTGCAAAAGGTAGTTTAATTGTAAAGTGCAATAATTAGAATTGGAAAGGCACCACTTCTGTTGTTATCATTGGTATATGTTTATTAGCACATCCTCTCCTTTGAATTTTAGTAAGAATATTACTATTATTCTGCGAACGAGTATGTAGTCGTTTTGGACGCATTTTAATCAACAGCAAAATCCAATTCTACAATAGAGAGTCAAAAAGTCAGAACGTAAGATTAAACATAATTCATACTACATCATCTATTCAGTACCAATTAATACTGAATAGACAAAAGTTACGAAACTAAGATAATTTATTACTTCATCTTGATCTATAACAGTATCTGATTGTTGATTTATTTAAGCTCAAATATTTGTGCATAAACACACGCATATCACTTCCACAGCAATTCCAGTTCATAATTTACAGTAAATTGCCGGCAGGCATCGAGAATCATCTACCGTGGTTGAGCTCGTGGAGCTGCAAACAGGTTATAGGTCATTTCATCCCACAACGCAATCACTTCTTAAAAAAAAAAATTCACACCCTCACTTTAAGATTATTTATTGATTTTTAAGTGTATTTTTTAGTACATACATTGCCCAGGGGATAATATAAAATTTTATTTTAAACATTATTTTGAGTATTCATAATGCAATTGCTTGATGGGGTATATATAAATTAAATGAACATAAGTCAATGTGCAGTTTAAACATTTAAACATGTGCAAACTTTATTCATACCTACAACAACCAAAACTAAATGCAAATTATATTCAAAATCTGAATTATACAGAAATGCAATACCATACAGTTTTACCAATTGATTTAATCGATTCATTTGCATGCGTAATCGACTGTTGTCACGGAAAGATTGTCTTAATTCTCTAATTCTTCCTCTACTTGCTTCATTTCGTGATTCGTGATGTTGTGATGATTTAGTAGCAGGTGAGTATGACATATGATAATTATTTTGTTCATTTCATTGTGCTCTTTCTTCTTCTGTTTCATTTTTTGTTTCACCTGGAATTCTCTTTGCAATATTTGTCCGATGACCAGTATTTTGTCGTTTTCGAGGCATTTTAAACAACAAAATGCATTTCCAATAGCTATTGTACAACAGGAGTGTCAAAAAGACAGAATTAAACATAGTTCATTATACATCAAAATCATCTCAGTAATGTCCAAACATTGAAATAGCACTACACATTTAATGTAAACTTGGATAAAACAATGTTTAATAATATTTTACATAATTTATAAGTGTTTATATATACATACCAGTAAAACAAAATCGGGTTTTGTAGTCTTCATCTTTGTACGCTAAACGTTCAATTGGAGCACTTTTCTCAACTGGGATGGTTTGGTTGTCAGGCCACATGCCGGTAGCTCGTTTTCCTACTTACACCACTGGTGCCTATAGTAAAGATACAACGAAGTTTGTATATTTCTATCTTTACATCATCGAAACCAGCTCTATAGTTTTGGCGACTATAATGTATCAGTAGTTTTGCAACTATAATCGATTCAGTAATTTTCGCGACTATAGTGTTAGCGCCTCTAAATCGAAATTTGAAAGACGCAGGAAACGTGCATCATACATGGAACCGAAGGCCCGTCTGGACAGCTGAAAGCTGTGAAAACATGTGAAAATGGACGCCACAAATTCCTGAAATCTGTCTTCGTTGTACTTATACTCTTTATAGTACTTAAAATTAAATATGATTTGTATTTCAAAAACGACAAATTTACTAATGTTATAATGACCTACTTCAAACACGCTGAAATCAATTTTATTAGATGTACGGACAAACGTATTGACGTAGTTTAATTAGAAAAAAATCTTAGAAATAATTGAAAATTATCATTCTGGAAAAAGAAACCACACAGGAGTCGAAGAAACCTATAATAGAATTGGGCAAATATTTTAATGGCCAAATATGAAAAACGCTGTACAATTCTTTATTAATAAATGCCAAATCTGCCTTGTTTCAAAATATGACTGAGCCCGCTTAACATAAAGCTAAATATAATACATATACCTAACGCATATATAATATGTTGTAAAAGTGTCATACTTGAAGACACCGCATGTTTAAATGATTGTCAATATTATATGGTGGAAAAACCCAATCTATACAGAATTATTAAATTAAGATATAATTGTCTAAAATAATTTTTTTTTGCGAATTTGGTAATATTTATAGTTGTATTCAAACAGGAATTACGGTATCGAGGGGTTGTGTTCAAAGTTTTTATGGAAGAAAAATGAAACATTGTCATGCCGACTGCCAACATAACTTCAGGGCATGGCCGGCTTTTCAGGCGATTCTCGCCCACAGCCAACATAACTTCAGGACATGGCACGGCTTTTCAGGCGATTCTCGCCCACAAAAATACCAAACATACAACTGACGTTGACAATTCGATCCGAAACCATAACTTTGATACCTTTCCGGAGCAGTTATGTAAACATGAGCGCAGGCTTGAAAGTATTACAAATACGGAAAGTCGCTATCTCGCCGATTATCACGTCACCTCAACTCTTTCCGTATTATGTAAATGAGAAATCTCTACAAAAATAAATAAGTTCATAGCATTAGACAAATTTGTATAATACAAACATGGCATTCATGAGTTGATATTGAATAGCCTGCAAATTGGGTTAAAGTATCCATTCTCTCAAATTTAGTGTAGAAGACGAGTGATATCTTATATATATATATTACGCAGGGTGGGCGACCAAGACCCGAGGGGTTAAATGCCTGGATAGACTCGTACTCCATCCCTAAAAGGTCCCGGACTTGGTCGGCTCACGTGTCCTGCATAAATCTCTTGGACTTGTTCACAAACCCCAAGTTTTTGAACCATTTTATCTCGGGGAGTGATTTGGTAATGTCCGCTCCTTCAAAGATTTCAAATCTAGACCTTGCATACCTATCACACTGCGAGGTGGTGCCTTGCCGTTGCTTATTTTATTTCGCAAAAACGGCAAAAATTATCTGGTAGAATACCCATTACGGAGAGGTGTCTTCTCAGTGGGTAGTGGCCCATCAGGATACCTATCAGCCTCCTAATTCCCTTCCTTGAGATAGAGAATAGCCATTTCGATTCTGCTGGTTTGATCACCTTAACGAACTCTTTCGATTGCCTGTGTTGTTTTGCCAGAATTGTTTCATGCCCCAGTATTTAATACTCTCTTTCGCTGTGCTCATAGAGAGAGGTAATACCGGTTGTGGCCCGACAAACGCAGTATTAAGCGCCTTCTTTGGCCAAGCTACCCGCCTTTTCATTACCATAATATTTATGTGCTGATATCCAAATAAGGGTTACCTTGTTCTCAAACCTGGAAGAGATCCCATTGATGAGTTCTACGGTTTCCTCCACCTGCCTGGAGGTTGACAAGTCTTTTTGTAATGACCTAAGACTAGCCAGACTGTCAGAAAAAATTTGGATATCCTTTCCCTTAATTTTATTTTCCATAAATGTTCTACAGCACACATTAATGGCTCAAATTTCCCCATGAAAAACGGAGGTGTTATTGCCAAGTGGGGAGGAGATGCCGGTTTCTAATTTAGGTATGTACATTCCTGCACCGCTCCCTCTACCTTTGATAAGTGAACCATCTGTATTGCAGTCTATGTTGCGATGGTCATCATCCACAGTATAATTATATTCATAAAGGATGTCTACCTGAAAGTACTTTTACCCCGAAGAGGTTTTAATCTGTTTATCACTAACGTTTAATAATTGGCTGTTAACCTTACTCAGTAGTTATAAGATTTTCGAGTGACCTACGTTATTGCACTTATGATTCCAGCTGCCTTCGCTAATTAATCTGTATCAGCTGATTAGTGTTCTGACCTTAACCTCAATGTGTAGAGATGTGGTAGTGGTTATGATTTCAAGTGTTAGGGTAGCTGAAAATGCTCCTGTCTTCATCAAACAACCTAGTCATTGAAATGACCTTAATTTGTTACTGTTTCCTTTATTTTCTAGACGTTTCCACCGCACTAAAGATGCGAACAATAATCTAGGAAGAATAATTGCTGAATATAGCCATTTGGTTATTCATGGTGTGCTGCCTCATGTTTTACCGACATTCTCCTACATAGTACCATTGATATTGTGCCTTTCCTGAATATGTTATTAATATGACCTTTCCAATCAAGTTTCTTGTCAAGCGTCACACCAAGGAATTTGAATGAATCCAGTAACTTTAATTCTATGCCCTGAAATTTAGGGTTTTTAAAATTACCTAATGTTCTTCTCCTACTAAACATTATCAATTCCAGTTTAGCTGGATTAATTGATAAACCTTTATCACAACACCACTCATAAAGCAATCCCATGGCGTTTTTCATTAATGCTGAAAGAGTCAGACGACCCTACATGTGAGCATTATATACCATCATCTGAAAATAATTGACTGTAGAAACCTGAATTATTCAGAAGTTCTATTAAACTGTTTACTTACAGTAATTAAGTAATTAACCATAAAATAGGTGACAAACAGCCTCTCTGTGTACAGCGTCCTTTGGCATTAATTCTAAGAGTGCTACCATCTAAGCACATATTGACCATCCTTCCCTCCAAGTAGGCCTTCACCCATCTAGCAAGGTGATGATCAACATTGTAATTATTTAGTGCTGATATAATGCAAGAAATAGCAGCATTTTCAAACGCCCCTTGGATATCGAAGAAGCAGCCTAGTGTATATTCATTATTAAATAATGATTTCTCCATCCTGCCTATCAGTGAATGCAAAGCAGTTTCCACTGATTTTCCTGGTAGAATGATATCTTACAATACTGTCAATTTTTCGCTATGATGTGTATAAAGTGGTAGGTTTATGAGCCGACAAACAGCTGAGGTCAACGCCTTCCCTTTGCATTTTCCTTCTTTTTCTGGTCTTTCACTCGTATTTTGTTTAAACTGCAGCCATTTGAGCGCTTCGATCTGGTTATTGATTCTTTTCTTACATATGTATGCCACGACGATATCCAAAAATGGTATCGTCTCGTTTGTATCTCAGGTTGTCCATTACAGAATAGATACAAAACATATAATATAAAAGATAAATATAATGCATATNTATACACACATTACTACAAACGACTAAGTTTGGTGGCATTTATCCGCCCCCCAGAATACCCGATATTCCTCGGGGCCGGGTTGAGCCCACACCATTCTCGCTAATAACTAACTTCTCCAGACGTCACACACACACACACACACTCATCGCATGAATGAAATATAGTAATCTGGCAATTCGTGTTATTAATCCTTCTGAATCACTCCCCTCGTGGTTAGTAAAGTAAGGCAAATTTAAAATAACCTCTATATGTTAGTCGATAGACTTCCCTTTGAAATTGTGCCTTATCTGGAATTAATTCTCTCTCTCTCTCTCTCTCTCTCTCTCTCTCACTCACTCACTCACTCACTCACTCACTCACTCACTCTCTCTCACACTCTCACTCTCTCTCTCTCTCTCTATCTCTCTTTCTTTCTCTCTCCCTCTCACTCACTCACTCACTCACTTACTCTCTCACTAGAGGGAATGTCAGCTTTAGGATAGAAACTTAAATCTGTATTTCAAAGAATATGTAGATATTTATATAGTACAAATGTTGTTTATTTGCTTGTTCGTTTGCGATAGTTATCCTACGCTAGCTTAACTTTATTTGTAAACACAGCATAAGAATAAACATTTTATTCTTACAGATAAACAGTTTATGAAATAGCGTGAAAGTTTCAAAGCTTTAGAAAATGCCTCATGTTTATTTGGGTATGTCTGTAAGGGGAAAGAGAAAGAGTGACAGTTAGATGGATGAACGGCTAGATAGAAAAAGAGAGTATGAGTGGCAGATTTGTAGCTTCAATCGATTCGAATAATGTATTTGGTTTGCCTATTACTTATATAGAATTTCTTATTTTATCGTATCGACCTTTTAATAAAAGTCCTGCTGACGTATCTCATACTACTCAATGGAGATTATTTGTTTTATATTTTGTACTTCTATCGTTGCAATGTCAGGTAATATATATCCATAATTTAATGTAATTGTTATTTGTGATTTCCCTAGCTCTGTCTTCACTGAGCTTTGTCAGTGAGAAACTTTGCCAACTCTGTTATAATTTGCGTTAATTTACTCTTTAATTATATCTTAAGATATATGCAGGGATATGTTAATTCCCGTGGATTATTAATGACTCATTAATAATCCTGCAAATGTTCAGGGCGAAATAGGTCGGTAGAACGGTGGTTGATTGCACCTTAGTGCACTACGGCCGTAATTGCATACCTCGTATTGGTAAGTGCTCTTCAACAAAGCTCCCTCAACCTCGGCCCGAGTGGGGTAAATACAACTCCCCTCATACAAAATTTACGCCACTTCAAACTTTTGTTCCCGGCTCGAATTAAAAACCGTCGTCTTTTCCGCCTTTTGTTTACACTGAAGTGGTTGGGGTGTCGGCCGTGAATATATCTCTTTCTTGAAAACCCATGAACATAGGATGTCGATCAAATTGGAAAAAATGAAGAGCTGGGCGAATTACGATATATTAATATGGGAGCGAATGGCATAAAAACAAAATGTTTATAACAAAAATATAAAAAGAAAAACAAGCAGAACTGATGAAACGTATATAATAATGTGTTCCACTTTTAAAAATGCATAAATCTTCTGGATTTTATCGGAATTCAACATTGTTATAGAAATAGGAATGCTGAATAGCTCTTCTTTCAGGATATGTCAAAAATGATTACATTTTATGTCGTTATAAGTAAGAAAAATAAGGATGAAATCAAATAAAACTCCTCAAACCTTTTTTTTCTTACATCTTCATCTACCTTAAAGTAGGTAACAAGTAACAGTGAGCAAGGTAATTAAAACAAGACAAAATTACCTTGCTCACTGTTAGTTGTTACCTACTTTAAGGTAGTTGTAATGTACTACAAATTATTAAAAAAAAAAAAAAAAAAATCTTCAAAGTTTATTGTCGATCGGTGGAGCCAGCTATCACATTTTCGTGAATATCGAAAAAATCGCGAAAACATTTTAAAGGTCAAAATTTTTAGAAAAAAACTTTTATTTTCCCTAAACCTTCTATTCTGGGTGCAAAAATCAAACATTAACTTCGTTTCTTGCTAAAAAGGTATATTTTATATAAAGTCGCTTAGTCACAAATAATGTATTTCAATATCTACTATATCCATTCTATGGCTAGCTGACAAACATAATTTTCACATACTGGCCAAGATCCTGCTTTTTTTAACGTACGAAATAAACTAATCAATAAATATATAATCACTGGTAACGAAACACATGTAGAACAAAGGAAGAAAACGATATTTGAAAAGTTATATATCCGCTTCTAGGTCTCATTGGCAAGAACGCTCGGACTAAATACTTTTTTCATTGAAATTGTGATCTCACGTCCAATAGATTATTTACGTGATTCATGGTATAAAACATAGAGTTACCTACAATAATAAGTTGGCCCTGATTAGCTATTCTAGACGTTTTTGTACAATGTCATTTGTTTTAGATACCAATATTTCTACAGTTAAAATGAGCATTCCATTTTTCAAATGTTTAACCAGACAGATACAATAAAACCATCATTCGATATAATTTGAGTATACGATTTCTAAACGAGGCTTTTTATTAAACAATATTGTATGCACTTTTATAAATTATTAGTTTATTGTTATGAGTTTATTTTATTGTTGTATTTATTGTGTCTGAGCAAATTTTGATATAGAATTACGTATTTATACCTTCTTTTGTCGGTTTCTCCATGTGGTTACCCAGTCGTTCGTTTGACTATTATTGAATAAATATTCTGTATTGAATTCGCAAAAAATTCAGGTTCAGCCCTGAGTCGGATGGAATTAGCGTTCCGTATCGGTGTTATCCCGTAGAACTGGAGTAAAAGCACTCTTCAATACGTATCAACGCTAATCCCAAATATCATATTTACCCGATATCGTATCCATAGATGTCTTTGAAATGCTTACATATGATACTGCCGCGAGTGCACTTCATCGAATGAATATCATCAGGATTGAGTCAATTTCTTTTGAAACGACCCTATCCATGTCGTCTAACCGTAAAATGCTTCCAAGCAGTGGGGTCGTTTACACTTCGTTCTTCAAAAGTGGGTAGTTGATTCGTGTTTTATGGTATGTACTAAATTAACAAGCAATAATTTAAATTTTTCGTAGAAAACACGTAATTATCGTTAAACATATGGTACAAAATATATTGATTCACTAATTTCGTGGTCCGATTGACCAATTAATACATTAAAATTATTTAAGGTTTTTAGTTGAGATGAAAAAAAGTTAATGGCACGAGCGGGATTCGAACCCCCGATCTTCGGCTAGATACGCCGCTGCTCTACCACTTGAGCTATCGTGACCTCGATCCGCTCGTCCATCAACTTCCTATCTCAACCCGCTTACTTTCAGATTCTTCACATATGTGACGGAGGTGCCAAGGTTGATTGCATGTGTTCTTGAGAAGTCTGCCCCCATGTGCAGAGAAATTCCGAAGGTAGTAAAAGGCAGACGCATGTCTCACATCTTCTTTTCTTAACCAGGTTACACGCATTATGTGGGCGCCAGCATGGCCTAATCTTACCGTATTTATCGGCCTCTAAACCCTGTAGTTATTCATCAAACATTCTTCTTTCACATCCGAAGCCTTTAATTCCCCCCCCCCTTATGTGTTCCGTATATCGGGTATTCTTTTGTACGAGGGAGGAATAAAAGAAGGGTAAAACTATGGTAACGATATCCAACCCATCTTCCCACGCATAAGACATCATGTTTTATTTTCTTATTATAATTTGAACAAAAAGCGAAGTTTTCAATAGTTGACAACATATTACACATAGAAAACATCATAGCAGTTATTTATAAATTCAAGGTTTTCATTCCTCATTTTCAGCACGCCACTTTTACCTTGAACAACCTTATTACACGAAATAGCGGTCAGGTAAGTTGACCGCAGAGTTTAAAATCTAATTAAAAAAATTTCTTTTGAAGATATTCACAGAGAGGAACGGTTATTCTCAGGCTGCAAGGTTTCGCTGATGATGCCTTATTTTAAATAATTTATAGACAACGATGTGTAAGTACATAATTCCAGTTATCTAATTGCTTTATTATTGATTGTTAGGAATTTCACTGCCTGTTGCATAAACATTTTCCTGAAGCACAGACTCGATCAATAAGGCACAGAAATTAGCATTGGGCGTTGCGTTCCAAGAAAATCATGGGAAAATCGACAATTTTCGGCGTAATAAATGAAAAAGAATGTGTAATTGTCAAATCTTTACAAAACGCGTTTCTTTCCTGATTACTTGTATTATTAGTATTGAAAAATATTACATACAGAACAAAACAAACATAAACGTAATTTCTTAGAAATGGTTTATATCAACAGAGATAAACACAGCATCAATTACAGAACAGACACATGTAAACTCAGTCGCAGCTACGCCAATATCATTAATCAAATTCAATATAGATAACATACATATATCATTACATTACATTCCACACACCAAATATTTTTCACATTGTCTAATTGTCCAACAATTTAGCTTTCCTTTTCCTATTTATTCCTTTCTATATAATCCTGAAAGGATAATCTGCCCAAACCATTACCAACACATTGTTTCCCTTCGTCGGCTCTTTTCACTTCAAAGACTCCGACCCCTTATACAAAAATGTCTTTTCTATACCGACTTCCTTCCCCACTCCTTCAAAATCCAACTTATATAAACAACAAAAACAGCAAAATCTCACTGGCACTCTCAACACGACACGCAAGAATCGCACACTTACACAGAAGACAAACACTTTGAGTGAGTAGAAATACTTTGATTGAATATAAAATATATTTTGCATTGTATAAATTCACTTTTCAACATCCTAAATGTATTTGTTAAATGTAAACAATGTTTGTAAATCCCAGGCCCTGAAGATGATCTCAATAAAGATGGAAACGTTGGCTCGATAAAGAAAATGTTTTTCTGAAACCTACATCACACCAGACCGCATCTCATGATTTCTGAATAATTATTATTAATTTATATCTGAATAAAAAATAGCGCTTTGTTCGCAGACAAAATTGTCGTTGTAACATAAATTATATGTCTCGGAATAATTACTGCTTATATTAAAGTCTCATTTGCTTTGCAAATGTTAGAAAACCGAGAAAATTGCTGAGGATATAGTAATTCTTCCAATATTTGTCACAATTATCTAGTAATTGTTTTTAAGGAAGGGATGGGCCCAACCTAGACTTTATCTAGGTCCCAGAGGAAATCCCTCGATCGGTCTGACTATAATTTTGAAATTTGCCAGATACCTTTTTTTTAATTCATTTTACTTTTAATAACAAAGTATTACTACTATTATTTTAATAAAATGTAACAGTATTATTTTAATAAAAAATAAAAGGACAGAAAATGAAATTATTTTAAACAATTTATTATTAGTAAGCAAGCTTGAAATGAGATAAATGAAGCATAAACAAACTATAATAATGACAATTGTTAAAACAAAATATATTCCTTATATTAATTATAAATGATATTAATGATATTTAAATAAAAATGAAATTAAACCTTTTCTTTGAATTTTGGAAATAAATTTTTTTTAACAAAGTAATAATTATAAACAGCCTAGATTAAGGAAAGGGACTTACCCACGGAGACTGGAACGTTTCGTTTTACTTTTTTTTTAATATTACTATTTCACGGGCAACAAGGATGGCAGCGTCTTCACCAGTGAGCAGATCACCTCTATCTGTCCCAAATGTTTTTATTCACGGCCTATACTCGGTCCCTCCTTTTCTTAGGCTTTATCGCCCCGCGTTTACATCTCCAATCGAAACTGCAGCGTGGCAATTTCAATTTTGTGACGGCCCGTAAGATGGGATCGTTACATATTGCATGAAAAGCCACATTGGATTTTATTTCTACACAGGTAAGAAATTAACTAATCCATGTTAACAAAAGGGACTGTTGAATACTCATAGAAAGTATAATATATCACAATATGAGTTAGGAATAGCTGTCTATATGTGTTTTTTCTCTTTCACAACATTGACTCTAATTGACACTATGGCGAGGACCAGGAGTACATTGATGAAGTGGAAGCAGCCAACGCTGGCGCTCAATATGAAGTATTAAAGGGCGAGGAGTTCTCCAACCCATCGACGTTTAGTTTAAGACTGGACCTGTAGGGTTAGGATGGATCAAGAGCTTGATGTTCGAAGTTTTCGAACCAGTATCGTATGTGTTTGTTGAAAATAAAGGTCGCTGCAGGAGTGACGAAATTTGACAATTAGTCTAAGGAGTTTTGATTGGAAGCATTGGATACGCTGGATGTTAAATGGTATATAGTTCCTGATAGTTCCACTCCGCATGTCCAGAGTATGGCAGTAATGTCTTGTATAGAATTAGTTGATTTTTGTTGCTTCTGTTAAATCATTGTCTTGATGTCCAGGGAAGGTCGTAAATATCTGACTTCAGTGGAAGTCGGTTACTACTTGTATCTAACAATAAAATAAACTACTCGGTTTTCTTAAAGCTAAGTATTAAAAATTCAGTTATTCATTAATAATATTATTGGAGTTAAAATAGATTTTCCCAGCTAAAATGAACAAAATATACTTTTAATTTTTATTTTTTTAAGAGTTTAATACGTAGCATTTATCTTTGAATATTATTAGGTAGTTATGGGATGCAGTTAAAATATTTTTTCTCAATATAATTGGATATTTTTATCGATATTATAATTTTATATTTAAAAATAAGGAATAATGCCTGGAAGAAAAGAAAAACACTCAGTTCCTTCGTCAAGCTGTCGAGGAATATTCATTCCCTTCGTCAAGACTTTTGATACCATTAATAATAATTCACAAGGTTCGATTATAAGAGCAAACTTATGAATACTAACAGTGACGACTGTGTTTTCAAACAATGAAATTCATTCGGGTCTTCAGGCATTTTCTGCAATTTGCCACCAGCCCCTTACTTTTAATAACACAATCCGTAAAAGATTTACTTGATATATAATTCGATTATTTTAATTACATTGCTTAGAATGACTAGAATTTAAACTCAAAACAATTGCGCTCCCCAGAATGGAGGTGCTTTGTTATTTGATGCTTGTTTATGGAATAATTTTAATAGAAGTTTCGTTTGATTAAACGTAAACCACTTTAGTGAGTGGATCCGCTTGAGCTTCATCGTGTTTCATCAAATGCAAATATTTCCCGTGTTGTTTTTCCGTCGCTGATGGATTTGTGCTACTGAAAGAGGCGAATTTTTAGGTGCGGCCCAATTAAAACATTTTCTCAACTGTATTAAAACATTATCGACTTCATTTAAAAAGTATAGCTGTTTTATTCAATTAAACTGGGGAAAACCCATTCTCACTACTTATGGTGCATGTATAAAATGGTGACATGTTAATTAATATCACTTTCGTCCTCTCCACCTAGCTATTATAATTTCACACTTTCCCGAACATATCCGTTCACTTATAACGTCCAAACGAAGAGCAAGGTTGCGATGGCAATGGTATCAAAAGCAATGTTGATTAGATCAAATTAAATTATACTTTTAATTTACACATAATTTAGTAATCATACTTCAAAGGCACGTGTCCCGAATCTTAGGCTTCTTATGTAGAGAATGTTTTTCATATTAAAAACATGCATAAATTATTTAAGAACTTGGTTTGTTATTAAATATGTCAAATATTTTTTTTGTTATTAAGCATTGAATTATCCTGTGAGTTATTATTAAAGTTTTT